AGATCATCAGCTAAATCCTCATCACTGGGTTCTAGGTAGAAATCACAAGTCTGAAGCACATCCGGTCCTTTGAAACAGTCTTCCTGATTAACCAGGCCCATGCTTGGCTGGGCAGGATGAAGGGCCCTTGCTTTGGAGAATGGGCTGACCTACATTCCTTTGTATCCAGGGGGTAAGGTTTCATTATGCTCGTCTAGAGTGTCTAGACCAGATAACTGGCTCTGCTAACTAATTATGAACAGAGAGAAGGGCAGCAGCTTACCCACTCTAAAACCAGGGAGACTTCTTTGAGTAGCTGTCCCCCAACTTTAAACGGCCTTATAAATAAAAGCACACTAGACTCATCAACCATTCTATGCCCTCAGCCACATTCCCTAAGTAGCTCCTCTTGGTGGGTGTGGCACAGAGTGGAGTGGCTTAAGCTAGGGTCCCAAGGGGAGCTTAGTTGAGAATGTCTCTGAGCTGAGATGGGGGTGGAGGCCAGCCAGTGCTTCTCTCCTGGGGTGCTGTTGGAATGTGAGGCAGGTCATCTGCTCTGGGTCGTCTGTCTGGAGCAGTGTCCTGCCCACCTCTGCCACTTTGACAGCCTTAAAACCCCCCCAGAGCCTTCCGAATGACTCCAAAATGGTGGGCAACCAGAGGCCAGAGCACCCTCAGTGGAAATCTGTTTTGCTTTCAAATGGTAACGATGGTGCCTGGACAGTGCATCTGTCTACATTAACAAGTGATGGAGAACTGCTTGAGCTTGAGGCTGTGCATCTGTCTACATTAACAAGTGATGGAGAACTGCTCCAATCATGGTCCTGCTTTTGTGAACTTCCTTTCTTTCAGACGCGAGGCTGGGGGTGTCACATCTTGAGATGACCATTCCCTTATCGTAGATCTCAGCCGGAGACACTTAGGGTCGGTACTGAACATCCAACATGACCCCAACACATGTCTCAAGCTCATTGTCACCTATGTATCAAAAACAGCAAAAATTGAGCTCTGGTTGCTTCTGGCGAGGGAACTGGATGGCTGCAAGAGAAACATTTTTCACCGTATAATCTTTTTTTTAAAGAATATTTATCTATACATACAGAACTGTTGCAGGGATGGTGAAGCAGAGTGGGGAGCAGATCAACCAGATGGATGAATCACACTACCGAGGGGAGCAGCAGCGGGTGGGCAAGACTGGAGAGGTCTGCTGCTCCGTATGGGTCGGCATGGGCCAGAATCGAACTCAAGCTGCAGTGGCTGGTGGTAGCTTGATAGCGCTGAGACTTTAACCCCTGTGCCACCAGGGAGGCCCAATTCTAGAAAATGTTTTTGACCCTCATTTAGGTGCCAGAAAAACTCCACATTTGAGAAAAAGGAACTCTCCTGCACTGCTGGTGGGAATGCAAACTAGTACAACCACTATGGAAAACTGTTTGGAGGTTCCTCAAACTGCTAAACATGGAGCTTCCCTACGACCCAGCAATCCCACTCCTAGGTATCTACCCAAAAGACACAAAAACACTGATTCAAAAAGATTCCTGCACCCCCATGTTTATTGCTGCTTTATTTACAATTGGAAAAACATGGAAGCAGCCCAAATGCCCAAAAGTAGATGACTGGATAAAAAAGATGTGGTACATATATACAATGGAATATTACTCAGCAGCCAAAAAAGAGAAACACATGTCTTTTGCAGCAACTTGGATGGAGCTGGAAAAGATCATGCTTATGAAATAAGCCAGAAAGAAAAGGAAAAATACCAGATGGTTTCACTCATAGCAGGAGTATAAAGGACCAGGGGAGAAGATAATAATAATAATAATAATAAACAACTATACACCAGAGACATTTTACAGGGGCGGAGTGGGGGATGGGATCAAAAACGGTAGGGGGCCAGGATGGGGGGATGGGACTATGGTGATGGCACACGGGTGATTTGGTTATGGGAAGCTCATAGGGATTGCAACTGAGATGGACAAAGGCACAAAATGATGTAAAAATAAACTATTATATTATTTAAAAAAACAAAAAACTCCACATTTGGCCTGAGTGTCCCTTGGGGATATCTGCCCCAACCTAGCAGCTTCCACTTTCCCTCCCTATGGTGATGGGTGGACTAAGGTGGGAAGGAGTCAGGACAGTACTGGAGAGGCCAGACATGTGCCAAGGCCTGGGCAGAGGCAGTAAGAGGGCTTGGGCTGTCTTTACCCACATGGGCTGGATTGTCAGCCAAGCTCAGGGGCTGCCCTTGCAGCCTTCTGTCAGAGCCATTCACAGAAGTGGGTAACTCAGGAGAACCCTGCGGATGGCTGAGGATGACTCACTCCACTCAGCCCAGGTAGCATGTGGCCACTCCTGCCCAAGGACACTCTTTAAACAGCACCTTTGGGTGCCTCCCTGGTGGCCTAGGGGCTAAGACTCAGACCTGCCACCCCAGGGGCTGAGTTCAATCCCAGCCAGGGGACCAACCACAGATGGCAGCACACCAGCCCCCTCCCACAGCTCCGAAGAATCTGGATTCTCTTACTTCTTTTGAGGAGTATTGATTGTCATTCTAACGGATTACTAGTTGATCACCTTGAACTTGAGACTTGGTTTTATCCTTTGCTGGTGTGAGTTAGCTTTGGCATTGTCCTTCGTCTAAGGGCAAACCTTTAGTCCTGGGAGATGGACTTTAGTCGTTGGAGATCGATTTTAGTCCTGGAGATTGATCTTTTAGAAGTTTTAAATGGAAAGCCCGAAGTGTTTACCCAGCGTCTCTAACTTTGTGGGAATCAAATTCAAGCTTTCTCTTTTGCAGTGGGGAGCCACCATGAGCTGCAGCGATTAGCTTTTGGTTGTTCCCTTGGAGTTCATCCATGGGAGTTTGGCAGTGAGCCTGGGATCTGGGGGGATTTTATATGCAGACCTCACGTCCTCCCTTTCTGTGTCTTTATCCTAAGAAACTCAGCTTCAATTTTTCACTTGGTCTGAATTCCCGGACTTCGTCTTTTGACCCTTCAAGTTAATAAAACTTTGTATTTTCTGCTTGAGTTCCAGCTCCCCCTTGCCATTTCCTGGGGAGTGGACTCAGAAAAAAATCCAGTTAAATGTAAATGGTTCCTTTCATTTATGGGGCTGGGCCTTTCAGTTTCTGTGTGCTTTTGAATCGTTAGGTGCTTTCAAATAGCTGTTTTTTAATATTTATTTGTGCATACAGAACTGGGGTGCAGCCAGAGGTGCAGGGGTGGTGAGAGGATTCACCAAAGACAGAGTGGGGAGCAGAACAGGCAGATCGACGAAGTACACTGCTGAGGGGAGCAGC